TCCAGCCAGTTTTTGACCCAGCGCAGAGTACACCTGTCTAAGCCGTGAGCCGCCAGCTTCTCCAGGAGAATGCTGTGGGAGACGGTGTCAAAGGCCTTACTGAAGTCCAGGTAGACCACATCCACAGCCTTTCCCTTGTCCACTAGGCGGGTCACCTGGTCATAGAAGGAGATCAGGTTGGTCAAGCAGGACCTGCCTTCCATAAACCCGTGCTGGCTGGGCCTGATCCCACTTGTTCTCAATTTTGCAGGGCATAGTGATGCCACTCCTACTTGTGACCCAATTCAGCCACAAGAGCAACACTGTTATGTCCCTATATTGTGGGACTAAGGCCACAGATAGCTAAATCCTATCAGGTGTTTCAAATAATCTGCTCTTGGATGCAATTCAGCTCAGAAAAAAACCCAAACCAAAAAACCCCAACAACCAGGCCTTGATAGGAACATATCAAACAATGAAGCAGCCTGAATAAAGACGTCTGTAATTTTGCCAGCTTTCCCTCCTTACGCAATTGTCCTCCGAAAGAAGATGCAGCAGCAGTATCTTCTATGTCAAAGAACACTGAAAATTTTCTGGCCCTAAAGCATGTATATTTATAAACATGACTTAAATATATATTCAGTAATCTATATATACAGCCAAAATCCCTGAAATGCATACACTGTCAGGTAAGAAGTCAATTTGCCAGTGACAAAGGGAAAAGTTTTGGCTGCAGTTACTGGAGTAAAACCCTAATTTTTAATGATATTTATCCCATTTATCATCTCCAAAAGAAAGAGGCATTCCAGTCATGCATGTATCACAGCAGTTACTATTCATAATAATTTGCTAATAAATACATTAACAAATACTGGCATGTTTCACAAAATACTGCACTGAGGATCCTGAGGAACAAAACCAGATCCAATCCAGGCATTCCAAATTGTAAGTATAGACCTGATCTTTATAACTCAAATTCTCTGCTAAAACAGAGCATTTCCCTGTTCAGAAGAAAATGCAGCAGTAATACAAAAGAAAACCTTATTCTTTGTCTGTGATTATTCCACACGTAATGAGACCTTATGGCAATATTTTTTATTTCTTCTTCAAATATATGACATGATGGAAGCCTGACAGAACATGAGCAGGCCCAAAAGGTAATTAAAATGTAAAATTACGATGCAAAGACAGATAACTAGATAGACAGATACATACACACATAGCAGAAAACCTACATGAATTTTTTGCATTAGAGCTCATTACTAAGGAGCACAGGGAGGGTCCCAGGTTGGAACCCTTCAGGGTGAGTTTGAGGAACTGCCTCAAAGTGAAAGGTTAACAATAGAGATTTTAGTAAACAAACAAAAACAATTTTTTACAGAAAATCACCAGGCCCAGATACCAAAGTGACCTACAGGAACTCAAACGTGACATGAACAGCCTGCCAGTGATGGGTAACCTACTCTGTTTCATTCCCAGCTCCAAAAAACAGGGGGTGCAAGTGTGTCAGCTTTTTAGAAGTGCTCTAACGGTGACCCAAAAAACTCTGACCACTATGTCTACCTTCCATACAGAGAAGCTGTTAAAAGAAAAATAAATTAAAAAATTGAGTCAATGTATTTCTCGGCGAAGGAAACTGTGCCTGACTTGTCCACCAACTTTATTTAAAGAGTTGACTAACATGCAGACAAAAAGAATGTGGTTCACCCAGTGCAGTTTCCCAAAGCTTTCCAACTAGGGCTAACACTTTCAGAGAAACCAAGAGATCACTGAACAATGGGGACAGTCCTCACGTGCATTAAGAATCTGGAAGACAGTAAACAATTGCCTGATTTTGCAAAGGTGAATCTTACAGCCACATCTTTTGGGGCTTGTGCTATTCAACATTTTGATAAGTGATCCTCAAAAGGATGAACAACTGATTAACAAAGTTTGCTAACACCAACACAAAATTACTTAGGAGAGTTGGATGTGAAGCTGAGTGAAAAGGGCTGTAGAAAGATCTCATACTGCCGAGTGACTACTTATAAAATAGCAGATAAAATTCAACTTTGATGAATGTAAAGAAGTTAAACCCAGTTGTTTCTCATTAACCCACAAGACCGTGCCCTAAATTAGCAGTTACTACTCAGGAGTATCATCCACCAGTTAATGCAGGTAATTTTCTAAAAATAACAGTTCAACACTCAGCAGCAGAACTCAAGGACAGTATGCAAGAATTCTGTATATAGCTGTACAATCTCACACACTTTCCCTAAACCATCCACCACCAGTGTCACATACAGGCCAATAACCTCATACCTTGGATAACAGACCATTTCATGCTCTGCGCAGCCACAAAACCAAAACAAACAGGTTTGAAACTTACACGAACGGCTGTGTCCACACCTGCTGAGGCCAGTCGATTGATCTTCCCATCAGCTCCACGTTGGAAGTCTAAGCTGTAAACAGGCTCCTTATTATGCCACGCTATTTCACAAGTGATGACCTTCATATTTGCTGAAGAAAACAGAGCAAATACTGGATAAATTCTTGTTTCTTATGACTAAGGCAATCAAAATTAGCGCAGGTTTTGCAAGCACTGCAGACAGATCCCATAACAATTTCACTACGGAAACTGACAGAAGGATGGTTTAAGGAAGACCATTTTTAAGTGCCGTGATTTATTATGGCTAAAGTTACTGCCTGGGCACTGCAGGAGAAGGGTAGAAAAGCCACGTCTCTCAGTGGAATTAAATGTTGTGACAGAAGCGCAGGGCAGGGTTACAATGAACACAAAATCCCGAGGGCAGACACGGCAGCTTCTCCCTTTCGGCCCCCGGGGCGTGCCTGCACTCCCTCGGCTGCCCTGGCCGCCCTGCCCTACCCCACCCCAGCTCCTGGCGGGGGTGAGCCCTCGCCGAGCAGCGCCGGACCGGCACCAGGCGCATCCGTCCAGCCCTCGGGGTAACAACTACTTCTGTACCAGCAGCGAAGCACTGAGAAGCCAAAACAAAGGAAAGGCACGAAGGCCCCAGCGGGGGCAGGAGGAAGGCAGAGCCGCCCCCCGGGCCGCACCGCTAGCAGGGGCCGCTCCTCAAAGCCCCGGGGGCCTCGCCTCCCCGCCGCCGGG